TGTCTGACCCAATCATGCACGGGAGGTAAGACACACGGGCAACCAGAGACCCTCAGCGACACCCTCATCTCTGACCACGTGGGGATCTCGTTCACCATGTCTCAGAGGTCAGAAACCAAGCCAGAGGAGCGCGCGATCCCGAATGAGATTTTCCGTCGGCCTGAGTACCAGGCCAACTTGTCCAAGATTATGGCGCAAGTGGACACATCGCAGCTCTCTCTCCCCCCCTCCTCATCGACTGCCACAAGACGATGATGCGTGCAGCCGCACGAGCGACCCGCGACGCGATCATCCGACACAAAGCTCATGACCCTCTTTCCCGTCTGATTATCCTGAGAACGATTTCGAGAGCGATATGGCAGCAAAATGTCCCTCTTGCCCGTCGCGTGATCAGCGCGCGCCCACTTGGCGCCAAGTTTATCCATATCAGTGCCGACTGTACTCGGGTGGAGCTTGTGGACCCACCGGCCTTCCAGTTGGCCACCGAGCAGGAGCATGGCCGCCTGTTCGAGTCTGCCAAAGAGTTTGCGAGCAAGCAGTTGCGGAACTGCGAGATCGGCCCGCCCAAGGCAAAGCTTCGCCAACGGATCCGAGGTCTTCAGAAAAGAGGGCGCTTATGGGCCCCATTCGACAGAAAACTTTGTCTCCGAGGGATTCGACCCACTCCTGACCCTGAAAGCAACATCAAGGCGATCACGCCCCCCTCGGACATGCTGGATCAGTCGGCTAGGCACTGGGCCCCTGTGTTCGAGGCCAAGGCTACCGATGGTGCTGCTGCTCGGCACTATTTGGACCGCTTCGGCTTCGGAGCCGACCTGAGCGACCTACCTCCACCAACAGAGTTCGATATTCAGAAATGTCTTCGGAAAATTGGTTCCAGCGCCCCAGGGCCCGATCAACTGCCGTATGATGCTTGGAGATGCCATCCTGAAGGCTCCAGAGTCCTTTGGAATGCTCTTTCCTGGGTGTTGGAGGGTAAGTCGCTGCTTCACGGTTTCAACGAGCTTCGCGGAGCATTTCTTGCCATAGGAGAAGAGGATGGAGATGAGGTCCAGGTCCTCCGTCACGCTAGCCAGACTCTCCCCCTTGGGCTGAAAAACGCCGATATCAAAATTCTTACCAATGTTTGTTGTCGAGCTCTCACCCGCCGTCTTCCTCGCCTGGTACATCACACACAGAGGGGATTCATACCGTCTCGGAACTTTGGCGAGAATGTGCTAGAGTTAGATACAATGAGCCGCATCACGTCCATGGAGGAGGAGGTGGGCACACGGTTACCAGTGCTAGTTGCTTTCGATGTTGGTCAAGCTTTCCCATCAATAAGTCATGACTGGATATTTAGGATATTAAAATCACTCTCTCTTCCTGGTCCCCTCTTTGGGTTCTTGAGTATGATATACATGGACGTCTGGTGCATGGGAGGGATTGATGGCGGGCTCCGTGTTCTATTTCCTATCGGCTCTGGGATTATCCAAGGGTGCCCTGCATCGGGGATGCTCTACGCGTTATCGTCGCACCCGTTCATGCTCCACTTCGAGGCGCTTGTAGAAACACCTAAACTTGGACTCGTGAGGGCCTGTGCTGATGACGAGGGTAGCGTGCTTTTTAGAAACACAGCCTTGCGAAAACTGTTCACGGTTTTCAAGGCTTGCAAGCGAGTCGCGAACTTAGAACTCAAAGTCAACAAGTGCGTGCTGGTCCCGCTGGTTGGGATTTCTCCCCCAGGGTCGCGAGGCTGTATTCGTCTTGGCTCCAGGCCAATATCCCCGAATGGGCCGAGTTTAAAATCGCCAGTTTCCTGAAATACCTTGGGCTTCAGATCGGACCAGGTGCTGGCCAGGCCTCATGGACAGGACCTGTAGGCAAGTGGACTAGTCGTGCCACTGCCATCGCCGCCGCTGGTGCGCCGCCACCGATCACTGCGATGTTATATGACAGTCGGGCGCTCTCTACTTTGTCGTATGTCAGTCAATTCCAGCGGTTACCATATAACGATATCGCTCGTCAGGAGCACCGATTATTCGAGATGATGTTTAAGATGCCACACTGTTGCCTCTCGCGTGCTGACTGGCTTCACCTCCACGAGTGGGGAGGCCCGAAGGTGAGAAGCGCTGTCCTTATGAATATGGCCACGCTAATTCGTTCTGCTATCAAGACCCTTTCGATTTGGGCCGAACTTTCGACAACGCTCGAAGAGAGAGCGCGTGAGTGCTTGCCCATTGCTGCTTTCATCAGAGGCCAAAGGTACCCACCCTTCCGGTCAAGTCCCTGTCTTGTGCATGAGCTGCAAGAAGCAGCAAATGGCTTCCCATCATATCCCAAGTGGCAGCACGCAGGTCAGCTTGCTATCAGTGCCGCGGCTGATGCTCCATGTAATAGCGACAAAGTCCAGGGGGCGGCCCTAGCCCAGCTGTCCACCCATCTCTTTCCCTCGACTCTTGTCCGTGATTTCTCCGCTCGTCTCCTCCATCTCTTCCCAGGCAGTGCCCGTGCGATTGGCAAAATTCCCTGGACTGACGTCCAACGCTGCATCAAGATGTGCCCACAATCGTGGGGCAACAGCTTTGTGAAGACCCTCGCTGGAGGGTGGACCACAGACAGCAGATTTCAGGGCACTGGCCATGCCTGTGCATTCGGGTGCGGGTGCGGTGACTCACAGGCTCACTATTTTCAGTGCCCCCGCATGAGAGCTCTTTTGAGACGTGTACTCCACATTTCTTTTTTCTCTCCTTGCCCTATCCTCCGTCTCGGTCTCTGCCATCCCACTCCCATCGGATTCTCATACTTGGTGGCCGCGCACCAGCTCTACTGTATCGCCTCCTCCCGTCCTTCCCTCCCGTTGAGTCCTGCCGATGCGGTTGCTTTGCTCCCGACCCTCTCCTCCTCCATCGCACCCCTGTCCCGATCTGCTCTTCAAGAGAGCAGCGCAACGGGAATTAGCAGTATCACAGAATCTTCTCCGCAGGCGCCGGCGGGCGGCGCGGGCGCCGAGCCTGCCGCCGCCGCTGCTGCCGCCGCCTCTAGTCGTTGTAGTCAGTCAGGATGATGAACTCAGACTCATCGGTACGAGCGCAGGAGGAGGAGGAGGAGGAGGAGGAAAGGAGGAGGAAAGGAGGAGGAGGAGGAGGAG